TATCTTTTTTTATTTTATATATATATATATATATATATATATATATATATATATATATATATATATTGTTTTTCCTTAACTGTCACATTTTAAAAAGACACCCAAGCTGCTTTGAAGAATAAGCACAACACTTGGCCAATTGGGCAGGGTGCCATGTTCTGAAGTGGAACTGGGACTGGCTTGGGGACAGGAAAATAAGCTACAACTGTAGCCTCTGTCTCAAGGTTATGTGTTTCTCCAACCCTGGGGGCTACTCCCTCAGTGACTGAAGGGTTCTATCAGAAGTGTTCTGGGAAGAAAGGATCCAATTCAGTCTCTCCCCTCTTGAGTCTGATGGTTCTCCAGTGACCCTATGCCTCACAAACCAAGTCTCATCTCACATGCCATGTCTTTCCACATTATATGTCACAGACCCTGCAGATGCATGCAGAAGGAACATCACCCTATGGTATTCCAGGACTGAAGCTGCCTCCTGCAGGAGCAACCTATCACAATTTGGATGCTGAGAAAAGCAATTCCATTGGTCTGTGCAGAAAACAGCTACCACTGTGCTGGTCCTTAGAACTCTGAGCTGAGTTCACTTAAGTCAGGCTCCATTTCTTCTCTGCTCTTTGTCAAAGGCAGGAAGCACCTCCAGGCCAAGTAAGGGGAGTATTATAGTAAAGGATTAAAAAAAAAAACAAAAACAAAAAAAAAAACACCACATCTGTGACTTTACCTGCCTACTAGTGCTGAGTTATCCCACAATAAGTCAAAGTATGTACCGTGGGGATGCAAGCCCAAGCTTACATCAAACCTGAAAAAGAAGAGCCCATGCGAGTAGGCCACATCCTGCTCAAATTGCTTTCTTCCCCACACTCCTGGTACTTAACAAACTAGGGGTCCTCATTATTGAGGTCCCATGACATCCCTATGTTCCAAAGGCAGTACCTTCTTCCTCTAAAACAAGGAAGAAGCCTTCTTGGGGGAAGGATTCCATGTTAAATGGAAAGCCTCAGGGAAAGGGAATACCTAAGAGCTGGTTATTGCAACAGACAACTGAGCCTGAAGCAGCAAATGGTGGTAACTGGCTTGGCTAGGTTTCCAGGAGAAAGCAACCTTCTGGGTTTTGCTTCCGAGGGGCAAGTCCACTAGGAGTCAGATAGCAAGGAGCCAAAAGGATTCAGCCCTCTAGAAGGCCAGGGAAATAAACTGTCAATATGTGAGAAGAGAAAACCCAGAACAGCAGCTTGTCACAAGGTAGTTTCTGTTCTCATGGTCCCTCCTCAAAGGGCCAGGAAGGTAAAGGAGTTGAACAAAGAAGTGGTATGTTAGCAGGGTTTGGACCCTCTTGCCCCCACCAAATCTAGTACCAAGGGCAGAACCCTGGGCATTTTTGGCACACCCAGTCAGTCACTCTCCTAAGATCCCACAAAGAGGATCTCCATTTTCTCTGGGAAGTAAGTTTTCCCAGTAATCTCACCATTGACTGCTCCGGGGGAATCAGAAACTCAGGTTTCCTCAGACAAAGCACCGTTCTCTATGGAGACTAGGGGCTGGACATGTTGCTGTCTTTCTGTCTGCCCCCATCCCCTACCCCATCAAGTCTTTAGGTTCTTCCCCTCGGGCAAACAGGAGGTGTGGGATTGGGAGGGCTGCCAAGCCATCTTCAATCCTGTAGGGCAGAGGGTATTGCCTGGAGGAAGTTAGGGGTTTGGAAGAGGGGAAAGGGGTGGAGCGGCCTCCGTCCTTTAGTCCTGTTCAAGGTGAGGAGATGCCCAGTCCATTAAAAACAATTTGGTTCCACCCAGACTCCTGCAATGAAAGCACCAGAAGAGAGAAAACACCAGTTAGAGGCCACCCTCTCATCAGTAAGGGCTTCTATGAGATACACTGGCATTTCCTGAAATCACAACCTAAGTCAGAATGTAGGCAGACAACACAAGCTTGGCAAAGTAGAACAAAGTGGACTGTCTGGCATTGAGTAATGTGAGGAAATGGGTGGAGAGAACACAATGAGTAGAAACTAAGAATAACCAAAATGCTGACATCTTTTAGAGGAAAACAGACAATGAAATGAGGTCTCTGAAAGCTGTTTGAAAGTATCTTAGTGGGGAAAGATGGAAACTAACATTTCAAGAAAAGTTGCAAGGAAACACAGCTTCAGAAAATCCAATACCCTAAGGGAAAGAAAACAAACAAACAAACAAAAAAAACGAGAAAGAAAAAGAAATAGGAGAAACAATAGTAAGAATACAAATGTGTATATCACCAAATCCATCGATCCCCAAACATCCCAGAGGCCCTAGCAGGAAGCATGCACTCCCACAGCTAACTCCTTAATATCTGGTTTTTGTTTTTTTTTTTAAAGCAGCCCAAGCTAGAACAGACTTCAAAACCAAAATGCAAACACACACCCACACACCTTAACCAAAAACCCACAAACCAAACCAAACCAGATTCCAAACAGTATGCTTATTCGTGTACATATAGATACACAGCACCAGAGCCTTTCCAGGCTGTACTGAATAAAATGCAAATGATTTTAAGACTTTCCCTAGATAACAGTTGTGGATGAGGATCCAAAAGAATAAGAACACTAACCAGGAACGAGCTGGCTAAGTCAGAACCAAAGCAGAGCCCGGAAGAGGAAAACAGTAGTAGTCAGCATCAAGAGCAGCGGACAGCCTGTTAAGAACCTTTACACCCAGCAGGAAGGGTCTGCCAGGTCACTTACCACATTACTAGTCCCTAGATGATATGAAACAGAACCAACAGTGAGAAGGAAAGGGGAGAACTAAATTCAGGTGTAAAGTGTTTACTAAACCAAATCTGGAACTGCAGCCATACACAAATGCTTACCCTTTATATACGTATCTTTGTAAAGAAGCCTCACAAATCTTGTAAGAACCACCCAAGAAGACACATACAAGCAAAAGATATCTGCATGCTGCCTCGTCCTCCTAACCCTCAGATGGTACTATCTTAGTCTGCTACTCAGAATCTGCAGATCTTTGCCTCCCTGGCTTCTCTAAACATAAACCCAACTTTGTCAAACTAAAGCTCTTAGTGCCTTCTTTGTTTCCTGACATTCTGGCTTCTGAATGTTTTCTCCAGACAAGGTCCTGCTGTGTAGCTTAGGCTTGCTTTGAAATCATGATCCTCCTACCTTAGTCTTCCAAGTGCTGGGATTACAGGCATGTACCATCTCAATTGGCTGAATCTTTAAGCAGGATCAAACTTGAACAGAAAGCCCAGTTTTCAATGGACCAGGAGGATATGGATGAAGTGAGAATGATTCTATTTCAAGTAAACACCCTAAAATAATGGGACAATTATAGAGAGTTGAAGACACAGACCACCTAGAATACCCTCAAACTCCAAAGCATACACATACATGCCCTGAAGAAAAGGCATTTGTGAAGTCCTTACAGAATGAGATGCAGAGAATAACTGGCACACCAAGGCAACTGGTGCTGGCAGTAGTGCCTGAATGCAAACAGAGTCAAAGATCCATCACTTCAGTTGGCCCATCAGCCTGAAGCCTCAGAGCTGGGGCCCTCTCCTGAGGAACAGATGTTGCTGTTCCATTGATACCCCTGCACAAAACATGCCTTTCCTGATTAGGGAACACATGTTCATAGTATAGAAATAAAATTATCTTTTTAAGAAAAGATGTTGTAAATGCTGTTCAAATAGTTTGGAGGATTAAGTTCTTTACAGAGAAATCTGTTCATCACTTTACCAACATAAAACCTTCTAAGCTACAATTTAGTAAATGAAGATAGAATTCAGACTAACATGAAAATTAAAGATGACCCCCCCCTTACTCTTTAAAGTGTCTGATTCACGATGGCCAGTGGTGGTACATGCCTTTAATTCCAGCACTTGAGAGGCAGGCAGATCTCTGTGAGTTTGAGGCCAGCCTGGTCTACAGAGCAAGTTCCAAGACAGCCAGGGCTGCTACACAGAGAAACCGTGTTTGGTGTTGGTGTTGGTGTAGAATGGGATGGACACACAAGAGAAACATGAAGCTTAAAAAATAAGGACAGAGAAAGGTGTAGATTGAAAACATTATCCAGGCAGTGGTGGCTCATGCCTTTAGCCCCAGCACTTGGCAACCTCCAAAGCCACAGAGAAACCCTGTCTTGACCCCCCTCCCCCCAAAAAAAGAAATTAGTAATTTTTATCATTCAATTTACTTTCTGTGGAAGACAACAAAAACACTCTCAGCTATAAAACTGTTTAAGTAAAGTGCCAGGTGGCTTTTAATCAGTTCTCAAGAGTCAGAGGCAGGAGGATCTTCGTAAGTTCGAGGCCAGCCTGGTCTACATAATAAATCCCAGGACAGTCAAGACACTGTTGGGCTGGAGAGCTGCCTCAGTGGTTAAGAACACTAGCTGGTCTTCCAGAGGTCCTGAGTTCAATTCCGAGCAACCACATGATGGCTCACAACCATCTGTAATGAGATCTGGTGCCCTCTTTTGGTGTGCAAGCATACATGCAGGCAAAACACTATACACTTAATAAATAATAATAATAATAAAAAGAAACTATCTCAAAAAACCGAAAAAGATAAGGTACATATAACACCTGTAACAAAGCAGAGGGCAAACCCAAGGGAATGCTTTCTTGTCTGTTAGTAGGCAGAATGCTGCAGAATTTTCGAAAGGTTTAAGTTTACTTTGATGAATAAGGGGTAAGGGTTCCCAGTCACCTTCATCCAGTCATCCATATTTAAGATCTACACAGCCTGCTCAACTATATTATTTGAGAACAATCAAGCAGACAACAGATGAGACATATCCTCCTAGCCACATTCTTGTCTATTTTCTACATGTCCACAGAAACAGAACCAACATCTTTCCTACAACAAAAACAATCCTTGTTAGCAGCTTTCAGTTGGGATTGTAAAATGGTGGGAAAAAACTCCAAGACCTATAGGCTCATCCTCCAAGATGGAAATCTTTCTGTGAATGAAAATAACGCAGAGCTGAGAGACAGGGAGCCTAAGTCCTGCTGACACAGTTCCCCAGCCAGACAATAAGACCTAACTTCAATTACCCATGCCAATTCCCTGACACTCCTGCTTTTAACAAAATTACTAAAATCAAAAATATCCTTTTATTATAATTATTCATAGGGTCTCTAAAAAAAGATTTTTCAGAATGGTTTTTCTATTCTAAAATTCTAATTTTCAAAATCTTTTTAATGGATATCAATTCCTGAAGTCATTAGTTTCATGACAACTAAGGTAACAATCTCTTCTGCCTTGGCCAGTTTTCCCTTTTACTTGAAAATTGGGATTAAAATGTAATAACGATAATAACAGTGATTTTCATTTATTAAGAACTCAGAGGAGAGAGAGGAACATCTCTATCACAAATCTTTTTGTTTCGAGACAGGGTCTCACTTTGTAGTCCAGGCTGCCCTTCAACTCATGGCAAGCCTCCTGCCTTGACCTCCCAAGTGCTGGGATACGGGCATGAGCTACCACACCCAGTTTGCACTTAATCCACTGGTCAGGAACAGGGCTTCTTCCCACCTTTCTCAGTGGTGCCGGTCCCGTTCTCTATCCCGGTGTCTCTCATGCTCCCGGTTCCTCTCTTGGAAATAATCATCATGCCGGTCTTCATTATGAAGCAAGTCTCGGTGCCTCCTGCTGCTCTCTCGGGACCTGCTTGGTGACCTCTCCCTGGACCGATGTCTTTTCCTGTCAGAGAGATCCATCAGTCTCAACTCAAAGGGCCTACCACATTCTTTCCACATGGGGTCTTGTATCTTCCAGTGTTTGCTTAAAGTATTCTTAGTTCTCTATCACGGGGTACTATATGAGGATCTTAACACCCTGAAGCCTAATCTTTATGGGGTATTTAGAATTTTGCAAGTATTATGATTTCATCTTTATAACAGGTCTGTGGGTTAAGTACTAGGACTTTCACCTCAAATTCTTAGAACGTTGCTAACTTCCATACTCAAGATGGGTCAACCAGGTAGTCAGCAATAGAACTAAGATTCAAACCTTGGTAGTCAGCAACAGAACTGATATTCAAACCTAAGATTCAAAATCCTCATGTGTCCACTTAGTCCCATTCCCCCTTTTCCTTGACCCCCATGGTGCTGAAGATTGAACCTAGGGCTCCATGAATGCTAGGTAAGAAATCCTGGCATGGAAGCCTGTGTTCTTTATTGGTCTTTCTTTCCCTAAATGAGGCCTCTGCTTCTACTGAATACAGGTTCCAAACATTAACAATACTTAATGAAAACGTCTCATTAATTTCTCCTCCTTAAAGACTCACATCAAATTAGGTTCCTTCTTCAATCCAGACTCTTATCAGATACCCTGGGTTTCCTTCTTTTCCCAACCAACCTGCAGAAGAGTATTGCCCAAGGCCAATCAGCCACCCAAAAAATCAACTCACCTGGAAGAGCTTCCACTGGCACCCACACCGTATGACTTGGCCTCTATGCCATGAAGACAGTCCTTAAGAGAGGAGATGAGGACCCGGCAACGCTCATCATTGGCGACTCGAGACTGTTTGATAACTGCAATGGCTGTGAGTAGTGTCTCAATGGCATCACTGTAATCCCCTGATAGGATGGAGGGAAAGGCCAAAGATGAGAAAAGACCATAACCAAACTGGACCAAAAGGAGAATGCAGGAGGACATAAATTGTTAGTGACTGGCTGTTTTAAAGAGCCACAGTAAAATGTACAAGGCAGACATAGCCGGGCGTTGGTGACGCATGCCTTTAATCCCAGCACTCGGGAGGCAGAGGCAGGCGGATCTCTGTGAGTGCGAGGCCACCCTGGTTTACAGAGCAAGTGTGCCAGCATAGGCTCCAAAGCTTCACAGAGAAACCCTGTCTCGAAAAACCAAAAAAAAAAAAAAAAAAAGGAATGAACTGTTATAGTACAGTTACGTCCAAAATATAGGAAGTGAAAAGATTAAAAAAATAATTGCTTTTTTAGCTGTGTGTGGTACTGGGAGTTGAACCCAGAGTTTTGAGCAAGCTATGCTTTGTCACCAAGCTATATATCCAGCCTTGTAATTCATTTTTGTAAAAAAACACCAAAATCATTCATACGTTATATATAACATGTGCACTGCCTCCAAAAAACTGGAGGAATACCCACCAATCATAGAAGGTGGTCTTGGTGGTCCTTCAAGGGGTTTTCATTCATTCATTTTTTTAAAAAACACCATATTGAGCCTACACATTACTTATTTCTTGGCCCCTTCCCCCTCCCCAAGACAGAGTCTCACTACATAACTCTAGCTGTCCTGTAACGCACTATGTAGATCAGGTTAGCCTTGAACTCAAGAGACCTGGCTGAATCTACACATTATTCTAAATTTATAATCAGATGTGTAGTTTTTTTGTAACTCAAGACACCTTTATTACATGCATATATAATGTAAAACTCTATTATGTGTATATACAATGTACAGCTTTCAAGGACAGGGTAACATACTGAGAAATTTGCTATTGGGCAATTTCATCATTGTTCAAACACCAGAGTGTACTTATACAAATTCAGTATATATAATACAAATTCAGTATATATAATACAAATTCAGTAATATATAATACAGTGTATATATATAATATATATAACAAACACACAAAATTTCTATGGGACCACTATGCTGTATGAACTACCTAAATATTCCCTCTCTCTTACACATTCACATCTGTATATTTAAAACGTCATGCTGCCCTCAATAACTAGGACTTTTTCATTTCCCAAATGTGACCACCACCTGACTCAAGGATAGGGCTACACAGAATGAGTATTTCACCATTGCTTTTACAAGGAAAATAAACAGCACTAAGTAAAGAAGATAAAAGAACAGATCCACATATTGGTCTGCTGAAAATGAAAGGTGGGCGGCTTTCTTTATACAAAGAACAGAATGGATAGAAACTAAGAAGGAAGTGCAGCACTGTGAAGGACCAGGAACACTGGTACATCAGCTCCAAATAGACAGTGAAGTTTTATCTGTTTTAGAGGCATAGTGAATAAATATTACAGTTCCTATGACTGAAAAAAAAAGAAAGAAAGAAAAGGCAAGGGAATAAATATTCATTAGTCATGTCAGTGTGAAGGGACTGGCATTGAAAAAGGGATAAAGACTACTTCTCTAAACTCCTCTGCATATTGTATAGTAACGATTGTGCATTATTTCTTAACTTAAAAATCAATGTATGTTTTTCTGGTGGGGGAGAAACTGACAAGAACACATACTTGCTGTTTTTAAACTACTCTGTGGAGTCAAACTGAAACCAAAGATCAGAAATTAGGAAAACAGATTAACGGCGCTAACTTACTTCTTTGGGTACTGACAGTCCACATACATTTAGATCCACGTGGGAAACCCCCAGGAAGAAAGTGAGCATGACTTGGATCAGAGCCCCCAACCTTTCTATTCTAGTATGCCAGGCCATTGCTCTGCCACTGAGTTCCATTCATAAACTTCCCATTCTATACCCTCCTCTTTTATGCCCAGGGCTTTCAGAATGGTAGCTACTGATTCTTCTGCTAATGCTGAGAGCAGGGCAAGTTAGCTGCAAGGGTGTGATATGCCTTAGGATGGTAACAAACTTGTCTTCCTAGAAGAGGCTACCCACAGACTACTAGCTCCACCCAGATTTTAGTCTAACAGGTCCATTACCATAGCACTATTTAGCTGAGGCACTAAGTCTAAAACCCTGGGGCTTTTCAATTCTACTTGGTCCTGGAGTTACCGAATAGACACAAGGTCTAAAGATTAGTTCTGAGATAAGGATTTCCCAGAGATAGCAATTACATTCTACAATAAATATAAAAAGGAAATAGTGTCTATTACTCATAGTGTAGCTACTGAGTTGGTTTCTACAGAGCAGGTCTAGACACATGACTAGACCTTCCCCAAAGCCAAGAAACTACGTCAAATACTTCGTTTGAAGTGCATATCTTCTGACATTTAACAGCATTCCAATTTTTCAAACTTTTACAAATGGAAATGACAAAGGGGAAAATTTAAGCAAAGGCAGTAAGTAAGGGTTAATTACCTGCACTGGCTCCAGACACTGCTTTGGAAATGGCACTGCTGGAAATTGCTCTGTTACGCTTCATTATCTCTTCAAATTCAGCTTCACTCACTGTAGAAGGCGGAGGGCCTGAATCTCGGCTGCAGAGAGGTAGCACCAGGTCAGACTACCCACATCCTTTATTACTTTTCACCATATTCTATAGTACTGTTTTTCAATTCTTCTCTAGGATATGTCTCAAATGTTCATTTTTTTCTTCAAGGTCAGGATTTATGTCATATATTATGTTCATAATTTTGGTTTGACTCAAAAGTAATAATCACTGTAGCACTTGCAAAAGCCATTTATGGCACCAAGTTTAATCAAGCTACTTAAACGGAGTTATGAAAAATATGATTTGGGTCAGGTAGGGAAGGTGAAAACAAAATACTAAATAAAAAAACTGATGGAACTGGGGGAATTAACTTAGCCAGTAAATGCCTGCCAGGCAAGCATGAAAACCTGAGTTCAAATGCCCAGAATCCATATAAATATACCAGGAATAGGGGAGGATGCTTATAACCCCAGTGCTGGGAAAGTAGAGACAGGTGGATCTCTGGGGCTCACTGGCTAGCCAATTTAATCTACTTGGTGAGCTCCAGACCAATGAAAGACTGTCTTAAGCAAGGTGAACAACATAATTGAAGATGACACCAAATGTCCTTTGGCTTCCACATTCGAGTGTATATGAGCACACATGTAGGGGCTGGAGAGATGACTCAGAGGTTAAGAGCACTGACTGCTCTTCCAGGGGTTCTGAGTTCAATTCCCAGCAACCACATGGTGGCTCACAACCATCTGTAATGAGATCTGGTGCCCTCTTCTGGCCTACAGGCATACATGCAGGCAGAACACTGTATACATAATAAATAAGTCTTTAAAAAAAAAGAGATGTTTAAAAAAAAACACACATGCAGCAGCACACATGTGCACTTGCACATACAGGCATGCAAAACATGCCTCTGACAGATACTAATCTATATCCCAGGACTCAACATCACAAAATTATAGAGGAAACAGCATCAGCATTCAGTACTAATTCATATGTACTAATTCATATAAAACAAATGTCTAAAATACTCCCCTCCACCCTCCCTTCTTCCCTCCCTCTCTCTCTCTGCTTTTTTTTTTTTTTTTTTTTTTTTTTTTTGAGACAGGTTTCTCTGTATAGTTCTGGCTGTCCTGGAACTCACTCTGTAGACCCAGACTGGCCTGCCTCTGCCTGGCAAAATACTGTCTATTAATTTAAGTTAGAGGTCAACCTAGTCTACATAGTGAGACCCTGTCTCAAAAAATAAACACAAAAGCCATGTGTTGTGGTGCACGCCTTTAATCCCAGAACTTGGGAGGCAGAGGCAGCTGGATCTGTGAGTTCGAGGCCAGCCTGGTCTACAGAGCAAGTTCTAGGACAGGCTCCAAAACAATACAGAGAAACCTTGTCTCAAAAAATAAAAACAAAAACAAAAAACAAAAAAACAAAACCCAAACCAACCGGCCAACCAACCAACCAACCAACCAACCAAAAAACAACACGTAAATAAAAACACTAGCTACTATCCTGGCTCAAATCTGCAGGGAAATAGTTACCTGCCATGGTGGTTATAGGGTGTAGAGGCCTTCATATAAGTATCTGGTGGAGGCCCCACTGTAGCATTTGGTGGGGGGAAGAAGGCTGGATTGAGGTGAAGGGCTGGTGGAATGGCCCCAGGGGGAGGTACAGCCAGATGAGGAGGTAATCGAGGAGGAGGGGGAGTGAGATGCTGGGAGTGGAGACCAGGAGGAGGAGGGGGGACACCAAAGCTTCTGGAGAAAGGTGGTGGGGGTGGAATTGGGGGTGGGGGCAGACCCATCAGGGGAAGGGCTGAAGGAGGACGGTTAAAGTAGGGCAACACGCTGGGGGGCTTATCCACACGAGCAGATGAGGGTACAAGGTTCTCAGAGGGAGTTGCCCGTCCATCAGCAGAATCACTAGAATCTCTGGAGTGGGCCCGTGGAGGTATTCCTGCAAAGCAAAACAGAGCTAATGTTACTGCCCAGGCAGGTTCTGGACATAACAACAGGACCCTCATCCCTCAGCAAGTCATTGGTCACCATACTGAAGATGACAAGTGAAGCAGCTGAGAGAAGCAGCAAATCATTTGGTGCCTTTCTGTTGGTCTGAGTGGAAAGAATGACAAGTAAAACAGCGGAGAGAAGCAGCAAATCATTTAGTGCCTTTCTGTTGGTCTCAGTGGAAAGATCAGAAGTATCTTTTTAAGACAACCCTCCAAAGCAATATGATTCCTAAGTCCTGTATGTCAAAGGATCCTCAAAGTGCTTAGAACACATTTAACCCTTAAACATATTTCCTGTTTTCAAATACATTCCAAACAACCCATGAGAAAATGATGCTGAGGCATTCTCACTGATGTTCTGCTCGATTCTACCTGCCCTGAAATCCTATATCCCCCAGAGTTCAGAGACTCTTAAGGCTACTACAAGTCGACCTTCTTTATTATGCTGTACTCTAGAAAAATTCTCTTTGCCATAGAACTCTGGTCATAAAATTGAAAAACTATCGGAAAAGCAGGAGACAGAGCCATTCTCTATTCACATAATTCTTAGAGAGCCGGCTTAGCTTTCTTGAAGTAGACCACAACAGAACATGATAGTATAGCCTTGAGAGTCTTGCAGGTAGAAAGGTGCTTAGCAAATATGGAGGAGAAAAAGAATGCTTTTTACAGTAGAACTTACAGTCAGGGCCAATGCCCAAGGCAAGCCTATGGTGGGAACAACTACACTGACAACCACCTTGACCTTTTCACTGTGGGATATTGCCAGCCTGACACAGGCCCCGTTCTTCATGTTTCAAACACATGACAAGCTGTTCCTTTCTCAAGGTGTTATAAACTGAGGAGGTTTCAAAGCAAGTGCAATCCTCTATAACAGTTAACCACTTTCTTAGGTACTGTTCCAATACTGACATGTGTATTTTTAGTTACAAGTCCTCAGAAAAACAGCCATTTTTAAGTAGAAGTCCACCAGTTTTATTCTTTTTAGCAAAGTAACATATATGAGGAAAAAGCTGAGAAGAGGTAGAATTGTTACTCTCAATACAGCTGTAAAGAGATATGTCCACCATAGGAGGGTGGAATTGTACAAAGACTCTGAAACAGAAGGGTCTTGAAAATGTGAATTGTCAAGGAAGCCAAGTATGTGCCTTTAACCCAAGGCAATTGGAGCTCACACCTCATCCACCTAGGCTGTCAATACAAAGGACAAGGACAATTGTTTCTATTCAAGAGGCTCTATTTCCACAAGAAGAGCATACCTCATTCATACAAGGAACTACTATTTTAGAGCTAGGTATAAGCAGTGACAGCAGGTATGTGATGAGATGTTGTTGCCACCACCTATCCCCTAGTAGTGAATGAAAAGGAGGCTGACTATTTCAGGCAGGGCCTTGCAGAGTAGCTGCACTTTATGAGGTCAGAGTAAGGCAAAATTGGTCCTCAGGTTTAGAAATCTGATTTTAATAATTCACCAGGGAGTAATCAGACCCCAGGAGATTGAATTATGCCAACCAAATTCATAAGAAACTGATACAAAAAACGAAGTAGTAATTTATTAGTTGATAATGACAAATATTTACTGCCAAGCAGACGGGAATACTTGTAGGCTGGTCAGTGCATTCTCTTCCCAGAAGGAAAGCCTCACTAAGAGACCAAGGTAGTATTAGAAGCTGGTTTGGTGAACACAGTCAGATTAAAGGGAGTAAGATGGACTTCTTAAGGGATCAAAGTAACAGAATGTTGCATTTAAAAATAAATTTTTAAAAAATTATTATGTGTATGGGTAATTTGCTTGCATGTATATTTGTGTACCACATGCATGCAGAACCCACTAAGATCAGAAGAGGGCACTGGATCCCTTGGAACTGGAGTGCTCTGGAAGAACAGCAAGTCTCTTAACCACTATAACCCATCTCTCTAGCCCCAAATACACCCCCACCCTGAGACAGGACTTCTCTGTGTAGCCCTGGCTGTCCTGGAACTTACTCTGTAGAGCAGGATGGCCTCAAACTCTCAGAGATTCACATGCCTCTACCTACCAAGTGTTGGGATTAAAGGTTCAAGTCACCATTGCCCATCTGCATTAAAACAACAATACAACAAAAACTAATGTGATACACTTGCCAAACCAAGTATTCAATAACTGTTTCCTTTCTCTAGGATAACAATGGAGAAACAATGCTTAATTTTTATTATCTAACACTTCTTTTGGTGGATTTTTAATAGAGCACTCCACATATATATTCACAGTAAGATCACAGCCACATTTGTATACCTTAATTATACTTCAGGTTGTCTGCTTTTTGAAAACTCAAGAGAACCACATCTTACTTAAAAAGCAAGCCCATTCAAGGTGTATCCATTTATGGAAGAAATAGAATCGACAGTTTATAGGAACCTTAATCATTTTTCAGTTTCAATGAGAAAGAGGACCTGAGCAGTCATCTTACTTAAAAAGCAAGCCCATTCAAGGTGTATCCATTTATGGAAGAAATAGAATCGACAGTTTATAGGAACCTTAATCATTTTTCAGTTTTAATGAGAAAGAGGACCTGAGCAGTCAACAACTATCTTGTTCAAAAGGTCAAAAGAGTCAAAGGCAGAACCCACTAACAACTTGAACCTGACTCCCAGGATTGTGCTGTTACCACAAAAATCTCACTCTTAGGCCTATCCACTAATTGTGCCAATAAGCTATAACCAACAGTACCCTTCCCCCAAATACTCCATATCAGTCTGAGCCCATACCACACCAACAAGCCCACAACCTCCCCCCCATCATACAGATGGTCTCCACGTACCCCCTCTTGGGACTCGGACGCACTCACGTTTCCGAGCCTGCGCCTCAAATTGTGATAAGTTCTGCCGGGTGGCTGGTCTCACATCCACTTTTTCTCCATTAAGAACTTTTCCTGGCAAGAGTTCCAGCAATTTGTGGACAGAATTTTCAGAGGCTACCACCACCTCAGCATACCTGGAGGAACCAAGTAAAAAGGAGAAAAGTATTTAGACACTGGAAAAGGAACAAAAATTTCTATTTTACAAAGGAAAAGGCATCTTGCTATGTTAAATATTTAAACACACACACACACACACACACACACACACACACACACACTAAATCAATCAATCAATCACAAAATCAGTTTCAATCCAGCTAGGTCCTCAATCTATGGCAATGTGTCAAAACCAAGGTAGTAAGCTAGGCTGGGGTGGAAAGGAATTGGAATCCAAGTTCAAATACATTACAGATCTGTTACCCTAACAGTCACAAACTAAAGGAGACCACCCAAATCCAGATCTCACCCTTTAGACTGGCCATTTGCACGGTTCTCTGCAAATTTTAACTCCACCACATCATAGACTCCTATAGAGCGAATAACCTGGATCAGCTGCTGGTCTGTAGTCCACTGGGGCCGGCAAGATGGAAAAGGGAGAAATGTCAAGAGCAACATGCCTGATACCCACCCACCCAGATGTCCCAAGTCCTGTTCCCACATCTAGGACTCCAGCCACAACCACTGACCGCCCACAGGAAACCCTAAAGCCCAGTAATATTTCAATCAGTGCAGGCTTTCCCCATTGTCCTGAATTCTAAACCCATCTAATCCCACAGCCCTATGTTTGGGGATTAAGACAGAAATTTATTTAAATTTTGACTGACACGTGGGCTGGTTGATCATCAAATCAAACAGACTGCAAGCAACTTTAATTATAATTGTTGACAGGCTAGAGTTGACCATGCCAGGAACTTTCCCATTAGTACATACATTTCCTGATTTGGCATCCCCCACCACCAGCCCAAAAACATGTCCCACAGTTAACTTTTACAGAACAGTCAATGCACACCCCAAGTACCCTAGAGCTACCAAGGTCTTTGATCCCCATCACCCACCATTAGCACAGGACCATCTAATGACCACCAAGAGTTCAAGGTGTTCACTCTGAAATCTCGTCCCACAGATGACCCTGCTAGACATAAAGCCCCAGGGTCAGGGGCAGTAATAAGATGGCAGAAAAGGCAACTACCCACTTAATCAATGCTTTCTTCGGCACCAGTACGTCCTCAGGATAGTTCTCTTTCAGAGATCAATCCAACCTGATCCCAGGAAAAAGAAATCCAACCCCATCAGAGCACAAAACAGTGCAACAGTGGTTTCTGAAAATGCCATCACCTCCCAGTGCTCTCCCTCCAGCCCACCCATAAGACTTTTGGTTATCCTTGCTTACCCAGGAGAAGCTGCCTACATAGACAGCTGCTCGTCTACTCCGCAGGCCACTGTATGTATACAGGATTGCAGGGGTCTTGTTGTTTGGTTTGGGAGACGGCTCCTGGCGAACAGGAGGGGGCGGTTCAGTGCTACTGCTTCTATCATCTGAAGGCTGTGAGGTAGCCGTCAACACATCATCATACAGGTCAATCTGATCTGTATTGTTGAACTCCGAGTCCTAAAAGATGAGGGATTGACAATGGAGTCTTCAAACTTTTCAATTTGTTTCCTCTGCTTCATTCTAGTTGACTTAGAATCAATAGTTAAATGCTTTGTAAAGAAATGGACAAGACCTCCCTGTCCCACTCTAGGAAACTGGGTAAGAAAGAATTCCTGATTAGAAACTCTTAGTATTGCTTATAAAATTTCCAAGACTATTAGTAGTATGCAAGTTTCTGACCTTAGCCTCCTGTGAGGATCAGAAGGCAAATAATGAATAAGCAAACAAACCACTAACAATTAGATACATGTGCTACTGTCAACAACAATATCAGATTCAAAGACAACATCTAAAATATATTAATAAAAATGTATTTTCAATATCAGGCTATCCACTATTGTTACATTTAATAAGAGTACATTTATTCAGAAATATAAAGCATGGGGAAAGAATGTTAAAGCAAGTAGGCAATAAAATGCAAAACAAAACACTGAGTTACCCTTTGGTTTATACAACTGATCAGGGAAATTTTCAAGCTCATAGAATACAATCTCAGCACTCGGGAGGCAGAGGCAGGCCAGCCTGGTCTCCAGAGCGAGTGCCAAGATAGGCTCCAAAGCTACACAGAGAAACCCTGTCCCGAAAAACCAAAAAAAGAATACAATCTCAACTTTCTAATAACCATCTAAGAAACATCAAAAAAAAACCAAAAAACAAACAAACAAACAAAACACATGGAGTAGAGGATTGGGGATATAGCTCAGTTGTACCTGAGTGCTTGCCTTGCACAAGAAGGCACTGGGTTCGAGTCCTAGTATTTACATGTCAAATATCAGGTACAATGATTTTCCCTTATATTTTGAGGTACAAATTAAGACTGGGTATAGTACAAAAAAACAAAAGACAAAAAAACCAAACCAAAGACTGTATAGTGGCACATGTGACTGTAATTTCAGCATTTGGGAGGTAGAGACAGAGATCAGCAGTTCACAGCCAGCTTCATACAGAGTTTGAGACTAGCACAGGCTGTACCAGACCATCTTAAAAAACAAATAAATAAATAAAAGGTCAGTGAGATGACTTAATGCATGTTCAATTACCTTGACCCACTCAGTGGAAGAAAAGTTTTGTCATCATACTCATATACATATACAAAACAAATGTAAAAATGTACATAAATCACCAAAATCCCAAACAAACAAAAAACTTCCTCCTCCCAATTAGAGCATCCTGTTCAATGCTCTAACCCTCAGAAATCATTATACTTGGCTCTCTATACCTGTCAGTTTCCCATCTACAGACTTAACCAGACAAATATCAACTGAAGACATCCTAAGTTTTTAAAGATGGGGTAGAAGATATATAGCTTACTGATTAAGAACATTGGCCACTCTTCCAGAGTACCTGGGTTTGATTCCCAGAACCCACTGGCAACTCACAACTCCAGTCCCAGAGGATCAGACACCTTCCCCTGGCCGATGAAGGCAATGCATGTACATGGGGTACAGACATGCATAAGCAAAACACTCATATGCATAAAAATAAATTAAAAGAATTAAAACTATGGGGATGGAGTGCTTGCTAGCAAAAGGAAAGTCCTGTATTCAACCCTTAGCAAAGCCGAAATAATCATTGTCATCATCTGGAGATGTTTTTAAAGCATGGGGAAGGAATGCATAAAGATTTTATATGCAAAAATACCTCCTCCAGGTGGTTCTGAACATGCTAGGCAAGGTCTACCAATGAACTGTATCTTTTGATATATTTTTTTTTAATTTAAATTTTAAATAACTTCACAGGGTCTGGTGAAGTTATTAAGACTGGTCTTGAACTTGAAATCCCTTTTTGCCTCAGCTTCCTCAGTAGCTGGGGTTACAGGCCCACGCAGTTTTTTTTTTTTTTAGATTTAAGTACCCGAATATTTTATTAAAGAGGAAGACCTGAGACCAATTCCCCAAAGATATTAAGGACAACTAGACTTTATACAACCCACCAAGGTTTTTTAAAGGGGAAAGAAAGATTTTTCAAATGAAACTTAAAAGACAATAAGGAAATAACTATTTTGTATTCAATGCCAGAAAATTAGGAATCCTTTTATGCAGCATCTGTGATTCAGAGACGTATCTAAAACTTGTAAGACAAAGCCATCCCTGAAAACTGGCTAGATAAAAAAAGTCAGTGAGCCAATAGAAAGATTTCAACTTACAGAGCAAACATTATCAGTGGAAACCTTTTCACACTGTTAGCTTAAGGGAATCAATGGGCTCTTCCATAATCTCTGCAAGAACAAGATAGGCTCAATCCTGGAGGACCTTGTTTCTATATATTATCACTTCAGAAAGAAAATCCAATAAATTTAAATGTTCCAAGTTTCAGTGGTCTAACAGAGGATGGGAACTGTTTTTAAAAAGTGAGCTGGACATGGTGGCGCATGCCTTCTATCCCAGCACTCAGGAGGCAGAGACAGGAGGATCTCTTGAATTTGAGGCCAGCCTGGTCTAGAGTGAGTTCCAGGACAGCAGGGATACAAAAAAACCTGACTTAAAAAACTGAAATAAAAACCCACCCATCCTACAAGACAAGTTAAAAAAACACACCCACATTTCATAGGTGGCAACACTAAAATTTTTATTATAAGTTTAAATTGGAAATATGCATTCAACATTGAATAAATATCTTAGTAAGAATTTTGTGTTCAAGGACACACACACAAAAAGCTACAGTTATATCATGAATTTCCTACCAGGAGTTTGATTTTTCCCTCCAATATGCTCAGTGTTCCTCCCTTCTTGGTATCTGAGCCAGTGAAGTAATTAACTTGGGTATGTTTTTCTCATAGTCCTCATCTTACAACTCTCCCCCATCACTGTTGCCCATTACTCTGCATTGTTACTATCCATTTTGTTATTTTACAACTTTTGTTGTTGGGAGAAGGGGGGAGAATGGATTCTAACAGTTTCACATTGTAGCCAAGCTGGCCTCCAATTTATAGCAATACTGCCCCAGTCTTTAGAGCATTGGAATTATAGACGTGTATCACCACACCTAGTTAGTATCACTTTTACTTTTAACCATTAGGAATGGCATCACTTTTCGAGCACAGAGATTTACACTCTCCCAACAACTCACTACCTCTGATAGTGTCCAGTAAACAGAAGTAGTTCAAATCCTTCCTGATGTAGAACCAAGCATACTATAAAGCCCATCTCAGCATGAGAATGAAAGGAACAAACAGAAAATTCAGCAGAGTAGCAGTTCTCAGGCATCTTTTTAGTTTTTCCCTGTCCAGTAGAGCAGTTCGAGTCCCAGGGCTCCCAATGCCACATCAATAAAGTATCTCCGCAAAAGGTTTTTGCAGTATATGCTGCCAGAGATCAGAAGCAAATACAGGGTTCCTTTAGGTTTTTGCAGTATATGCTGCCAGAGATCAGAAGCAAATACAGGGTTCCATGTAGTTAATGCACTAATTTTCCTTTGGGAGCAAAGTGCTTGGGGGAGTTGTATGTAGGGCTAGCTTGGGGCAAATCAATTAACTGTCTAAGACATTAAAAAATCCAACTTATACTGATTGCCTTCCATCTAAGCCAATTTTGTCGTCGTCTTTTTTTTTTTTTTTTTTTTTTTTTTTTTTTTTTTTTGAGT